TTATGACGGCGTAAGCCATCGGCGATGTAGGATGGTGATTCTGTGGCATCCGAATTGAGGAAGCGGAGGAAGACGTCGATAACGATTTCTCCATGGACGGCGGCTTCGGAGCAGACCTGGAAGGGGAAGGGCTGTCTTTTCCGTAGTATACCCGCTTGGAAAGTCTGATTCCCATATCGACTGATCTGGAAAACTCGTTAACTGCCATCGCCGGAGGGAGAGTACTGAAGCTTAGATTGAAGGGCGAGTTAGTGACTGTGTGAATGACAGATGGAAAGAGATCATTTTAAGAGAAGGGAAATGATGATGATGATGATGATGGTGAAGATGATGATGATGATGATGATGATGATTGGTGTTAGGGGCCATGTTCTGTACTGGTAATAGACTTCAATCTCTTTCTGGACGCATATGTGTATGACTTTTGAGGTTTGTAATTCTTTATCATGCACATCTATTTGTAAGTGTTTGATAGGCTATCAAACTATAAACTATAAGTTGGAAGATATTATTTAATTATTATTTCTAATTAGTGTCATTTATATTAAGCTATATAAAAATAGATTAAGGTAGCTAAAGTATCTTTCATTTATATTTCTTTAACAATCATAAAAAATAAACATTGTTTATCAAGTAATGAAACCATAAAAACACTTTACATTGAAATATCACCAAAATATATGTATAAAATAAACACGTTTTCAAATCAATTTTAACATTAGAAACATATATACTATAGAAATTCCGGTGAAGAATACACATTTTTTTTTCAAAATAAAACTATACAAAAAAATATATTTTTACATGCAATTTGCTCGAAAATAAAAAATTGGTTAAAAGGTAACGTAGGAGAGTGATCGGCACACAAGTCAAATGACAGAACGATGATCATGGTGCGTCAATATAGCTAGGGTGATGTGGGATTCATCGGGTGGAAAGTTATAATATACGGTGTTTATTGCAAAAATACTCATGAACTTTAAGTATATTTTAATTGTTTATTTATAGATTTGAGATTAAATTGAATAGCAATATAGTAACTATTTTCTTTTTACGTAAATAACCGCTTAAACATATATAGTTTTGGCCGACTTCTTTAAAGCTTTGGGGGACTCTTCTTTTGTTGATATTATTATTATTATTATTATTATTATTATTATTATTATTATTATGTTTTGTTTTAGTCTTGTTGCCTTGTTGGTCTCCTTCGTAAAAATAAAAAGAGAAAAAAATAAGCTTACCGGTCAAACTATATTATTGAAATCTAAATAGGTCAAACCCAAGTGTGCACATGTTTACTAAATGTGGAGCTTCAAGTTCCAAGGATTAACCACCAAGTTGTTAAATTCTTTCTGTGCTTGTGAGACCTAAATTTTTTATTTTAGGGTGTTTGGATACTTATTTAAAATTGTTTATTGATTTATTTTAGTTTGGCGATGATAATAAAGAGTTTTAGTATTTGATAAAAAGATTTCATAAACACTAACTTTTTTTATTTCCTACTTACTTATTTATTGACAAGAAGTTTTTTGTAAGTTGTTTCTTTATTATAAATAAATAAGAGTTTGTGAAACACTAAAAGTAACTTATCAATTTATTTCATTTTGAAACTAGATAAATTAATACAAACGTTTTTAAACTGCGCTTTGACACCCGATAAGCTAATAAACACATTTTACAAATAGGTATAATTTGTTTTAAATAAGAAATCTCAAACACCCCCTTAATTAGATATACATATGAAAACCTCCTTTACAATTTAGTTCTATGCACTATCTCTTACAGCTAAGTTATTACATATATGTGCAAAAGCTTAAAAAACAAATGTCTTCCGACATAAAAGACTCAAATAAAGTATCAAAATGACTTGATATTTAACGAGAACGTTCATTTTAGACGTCTAGATAGTACAAAGGACCGTGACATAATAATAGAAAAAGATGTGACCATACGAATAGGGCACTGGTGGGTGTCCGTCCACGGACACAAAGATTTGCATCATTTTTGTCTTCGTCAGATAACTTTATTTGTATTATGATTCGTTTTCTTTGCATTATAATTCGTTTTTTGGAGGCAATTAAACGCATTTATCATTTGTCATTTGATGGAAAAAGGTTTGAAGTTATATTTTGTTAAAAAACAAGATTCTTATTTAAAAAAATCGTTTATAATATAATTAGCTTTTTATAGAGAAAAAGTTAAGATTAATAATGGCAAAACATTTTTGTAAGGTTAATCTAATACTTCTAATGAAATCACGAGTATTATTGTTATAAAATATGAAACTAATAACAAGATAAATTATAAAGTAGTGAAAAACATGAGAGTGGAGAGAAATTTTATTCTAATACTTATGATGAAATCATCAAGTTTCTAATACATATGCTCATTATTTATATTATCAAAATAAGATGAAATATGAGTTATAATATGAATGCCCATTATGATGGTGTATTATTATATTCATTAAACACATTGAAATAGTTGTTACTAATACTAAATAATGATGAGGAGTTATGAGAAAAATAGAGAATCCAATGGTTATTCACAAACTAGAAAAAAAATTTAAGATTAATAATGGTAAAATATTTTTGTAAGGTTAAAAAAACCTTCATTTCAGGATATAAATCCAAAAGAAACTAGAAAAAAAAATGTTAATTTGACATGTTGATGTATTTTCAGTTTTTACCATGTTTTAAAACCTGATTTTGTAAAAACTAAAACTCGATCAACTAAGTTTGTAGACTTGTGAAACAAAGTTTTGGTTATTTTCAAAACTCAAATATACTTTTAATTTGAAAATCGGTCAACCTACTGCGACTATGAAAGTGATGAAAACTCAAATGTACTTTCATCTAACAAACTTCAACTAGTTTCTTTGAATTATCGTTTTTGTTTAGGAAATCAATTTATGATTATTAATCTTGTAAGTGTTTGAGCTTAGTTAATCTAGAAAAAATAATCATGAAGGTTATACAAAACATCTCCTTGTTAATCAATAACTTCTTCTCTTTGATACGATGTGTATGCTCCTCATCCACAAGAACATAACACTAACTATAACAATTCCCAAGTCTCGAATAATAGAGTAAGGGATATCTCATTATTTGAATCCTCCATGCACAATAATATCAAACTCTCATTGATTTATAAACAAGACATAGGATGAAAAATTGACAAATGCATGATATTAATTAATTTCATCAACCAAAAAGTCTATATTTTCTAGACATAATCCTTCTTCTTGTCTTTATCAACAGTGATACATCGTTATTTAATCCCATCATAATTATGCGTGTTTGATCAAAAAAATAAATACAGAACTGAAACCTGATATAATTTGGTGTTTATATCTATCTAAATTATATCGTATCATAACATATTAATTATTGTTAGGTCCTATGATATTCTTAGAACCATGTCCTTATGCTACAAAGACCTAAAGTAATTCGTAATAAAATGGATGGGTGACTTTGTAATTTGCATTAACTATTTACGTCGAGAATATCAAATTTTATGTAACAAAATTTCACTCAATTCAGCTCGTTACCAAAGTTCGGTAGTTTATTTTGTTGACCATCAATAGTTGTATTTAAAATTAGAAATTTTGAGTTTAATTTCAAGTTTTTTATTTATATATAGTCTTAATTTAATAAAAAAAAGTACAAATAATAAAATATTTTTGTTAAACTCGAGGTGACGTCAAGCTTATAATATTATTTTATTGAATGTCATAAGTTAGATTAGATTTACGGTTAAAAAATAAGTGTGTTACTATTGTATATATTATAACATTTTGTAGCACAATTTTGAGAAAATGTACGTGTGAATTAAAACTAATGTAATAAATTATATTGTATAAATTATAATAACTTCTAAAAAAATAAGAAGCATTGATTGTTAATGACTACTCATGGCGTAAAGTGTCGTTAATGTCTGCCGTACCTTTGCCAGTTTGACTCAACTAAATCAACATTAACATAAAAAAAAATGGAAGGGATTCGTACACAACAGTTTTTTGTCTTACACAACAATTTATGCATTATAGAGTTGTACAGTAAAACATTTTAAAGCATCAATTGTTGTGTATGGAGAAAAAGAGAAAAATTGTTATGTACAAATCTCATTTCCAAGAAAAAGATCAAGGTATATACTACGGGGATTTTCGATTCAATAATTTTCAACTCGAAAAAAGGTTTGAAATGAACCAATCTCTTTTAGGTGGTGAAAAAGGTCAAAAACCCAAATTTGAATTGGTTGTAAACCGAATGCAACATTCATGAGAGTTGGGTATAGGAAGCAGATGCACGAAAGGCACGTAAGTTAACTCCTTTTGATAATTAATCGGCCCATTTGATAATTACATCATCATTTGATTAATTACTCAATATTGGCAATTATAGTTATTTTGAGAATAAAGTTAGTCGAATAAAATTTATTTCGATAATCACATAAGATTTGAATGTGTCTTCACGATACTTTACCATAATCTCTTTATACCGCGACTGTATTTCTTTATTTTATTTTTTTTTGAAAGGACAGGCAACCAAAGCATGAAACATGTGGAATTTAAAAATATGTATATTTCATTTAGAAGTGTTGCATATCAAATGTTCAAACTCCTGAAATGGTTAAATTGATTTCATCACTTGCCTTGATGGACTACTAAATTGTCTATAGAGGAAATTTGAACTTTCTTCATTTGCTCTTTAACACAATATGTCCATGACACAATCCATGGAGTATTTAGCATTAAATACAAACTATTCGGTCATCATATCTCGTTATAACTCAAAGAAATATTTTGTAATTAGTAAATCATTCATAAAGTCTATTTAACTTTTCAAGTATATTTGAACCAATCAATAAACCATTGAGGATATTGTTTTTAAAATGCACCCACAATGCAAAAATAAAAACATAATGTTCATAATTATATTAATTATATTTGGTAGGGGTTGCAAGTATTTAGCTAAATTGATGCAACCATTTTTATATACCACGAATACAACACAACACGTCACATTTTGCTTTACCAATATGAAAAAGAAAACACAATTAAAACATGATAAGAACTAAAAGAAGGTTTTTGAACATTTACAGAGTATGAAGACAGATTGAAAATCAAAGGTTTTTGATCAGTTCAATTTTAAGACTTTAGGTTAAATTTGATTGTTGTGGCGTTAAAAATGTGTAAAGAAAAACGGTTAAATTAAAACAATTCTTACCAAACTTCATCAACAAAGTCTTACACTAGACATAACATTAGTTTAGAAATAATAATGCCAAATTTTCAAGGCTAAAAGATTACTGACAGCTACTTCAGTCTTCATAACATGCTTCTGCTTGAAAATTGCAACCTTTGATCGTTCCACCATCCATTAATCAACGATACTGTTATGCATAAGTTAGAAAGGTTACATCTTTACAAAACAAGATTTTGCTAACAAAAGAACAAAGCAAAAATCTGAACATGATAGAATTTGAACAGTATGTTTTAACTTTCATCAAAATAATTTGATAATTTCAAGAGTTGAAACCTGTCGCAGATTCAAAACTAACCTTAATAAAGCCAATTTCCTTGGCATTGCTGTGGAAGCACTGTCTGCAGCACATGAGCCCATACTTTCTGATAAGTCCATGCGAGTTACCACATACACGGCTGATATACCACAACAAAAAATCATCAGATCATAAACTCACCCGATATAACCAAGGTTAACATAATCTTCAAATGCACCATGTGCAAACATAACTCAGATTTGATTGACAAAATTTAACAAAAAATCACCAAAAACATCAACAACTAGATTTAATCTATTGAAAATGATGCATTTCTTTGATGCGAGATTTGAGTAACCATTACCTTCTTGTTATATAAAAATAGCTTCGAATGTATTAGACGAACACTAAAATTGAGCAAAAAAACGAGAAAAGGAACATGAATCTAACCAAGTTCGAGAACCAGGTCCGTATAGTTTAGGATGCGAGTTCCAGATGTTCGAGTGACCCATTATTCTTCTTGCGTTGGCGTCGAGCTCGAGCACACAAATGGAGAAATTCAAAACCCTAGATTTTGCAGATTGATTTTGAAGGAAAAAACTTTTTAATAGTGTTCTAATGAGGAGGCCCAACAAGAGCAAAGAGTTTTCATCCTGGGCCTTAGCTGTTGTCGTGGCCTACTTTTGAAAGCCCAAAGTTGTAAAAGATTTATTGGGCTGCAAAACGATGTTGTTTAATCTTTTCGGTCCAACTTACCCCGCCCCAAGAGGTTACTAGTCCTCCTTCAGGATCTTGTCTTGAGAAGAAAGAAAAGTGTTCGTGTTCTTGATTCAAAAGGGCAGAGAAGATCATTACTAATACTCACCGAAGAACACTGATCCTCCGAGCATCATCATCATGAGTCGTGGAAGTGGAGGTGGATATGATCGTCACATTACTATATTTTCGCCCGAAGGTCGTCTCTTTCAAGTCGGTATGAATCCCTAAACCCTATTTCATCACGATTATCTCCAAATATCTTCTTATTAAGAATTGATGTTCTTCTATGATGGATCATTGGATAAGGAAATTACGTTTCTGTATGGTTCACTTCAGTAAATGTTATACGATTCTGATTTGAATTAGGGTTTTTTCCTTATGAATTATGTTGAATGTTGTGAATTGAAACAGAATATGCTTTTAAAGCTGTTAAAGCAGCTGGAGTCACCTCAATCGGTGTTCGAGGCAAAGACTCCGTATGTGTCGTGACCCAGAAGAAGGTTCCGGTGAGTGTCTGCGACTCAGTTTGAGATGAAATCGCTTTCAAATCCTAAGAGTTTCACGGTTTTTTAAACTTTTGTATCTTGATACAAACAGGACAAGCTTTTGGATCCAACAAGCGTTACACATCTTTTCCCCGTTACTAAGTTCCTTGGATTGTTAGCTACTGGCACTACAGGTTTGTTTTTCCAATGATTTGCAGCATCTAATCAAATATATTTTGTGTAACCAAGACTACTAATAAGTAGTGTTTTATACATCTTTCCAGCTGATGCAAGGACATTGGTTCAACAAGCAAGAAATGAAGCAGCTGAGTTTCGTTATAAATATGGTTATGAGATGCCTGTTGATGTATTGGCAAGATGGTATTAATCCTACTGTATTACCTGGGTTCCATTTATCAGATTATGTCATATCATTTTGTATGTTGATAGATCTATATGTTGCAGGATTGCTGACAAATCACAAGTTTATACTCAACATGCTTACATGAGACCACTTGGAGTAGGTTAGTTTCTACATGTGAAGTTGTTATGGAGTTAACTGTGATGCTTGTTTTTATGAATGTGCATGATTTTATTTATTTGTTTGAACTTCAGTGGCCATGGTGTTGGGTATCGATGATGAAAATGGACCTAAACTCTTCAAATGTGATCCAGCAGGACACTTTTTTGGACATAAGGTGTGTGAAATTTTGTAATGGTTTTAAAAAAATATATAAATCTGTTATCTGATGTAGTTTTTAAATTTTGTTTGTAGGCAACAAGTGCTGGGTTGAAAGAGCAAGAGGCAATTAATTTCCTTGAGAAGAAAATGAAAAATGACCCTCAATTTACTTATGATGAAACTGTACAGGTGAATTACTACACTTTCTTTGAGTTGCAACTTTTTTGTACTAATTGTATTTGACATTGACATATGCTTGATGCAGACTGCAATTTCTGCTTTGCAATCTGTTCTACAAGAAGACTTCAAGGCCAATGAGATTGAGGTATGCCAAAAAAAGAAGATCAAATTTTGTTGAAAAAATAAAAGAAAATGATTTTTGACACACATTAATTAATTGGTATGTTTTATGGTAAAATAGGTTGGAGTTGTGAGAAAAGAGAATGCAGTTTTTCGTGTGCTGTCGACTGAGGAAATTGATGAACATTTGACTGCCATCAGTGAGCGTGACTAGATTTGTGTTGGGTTGATTTAATGTTTTTTGTGATTTATGTTTTTAATGAATTGGAAGAATGTTTGGTCAGGTTTTTATATTAACTCTGTTGTTCTTGAATCGCTAGCTGTTTCTCAAGTGAACTGTTATTATTCATATTTGCATTGGTGAATGGTGAATTAGTTTATTTACCTCCTTCAAATGTGCTAAGTTTATGGTTGAATCACGCATGACTCTTGGGGCTTGTTTGGTATTAGCAAAATGAAAGGAAAGAAATGGAATTGATTCCATTTCTCTTGTTTACGTTATCTTTATTTGTCCAGCTTATTGCTGTCTTTCTAATTTAATTAAGTTTCTCGTTCAAAAAAAAAAACAAAAACAAAAGCTAGGATATGCCATTAGAGATTGTTAGAGATTATGGTTCATATTGAAAAGGTAAAATGTACGCTTTCTGTTGTGCTTATGATTACCTGTAGGTGCAAATTGGCCTCAAACTATCATGTAAATGACCTCTAGGATACTTGAGGTCATTAGAAACATCACCAGTATAGTAATTTTCGCGTTAAAAGCACTTTTTTACTCAATAAAAGCTCCATTTTCTACAAACTTAAAGAGTAGTTCACCTACAACAAATAAGTTAAGCAAAGTTTTCTTGATCCTAACATCATCATGTTTCCAAGTTGTGACACTACTACCATCCTCACAAGCTTATTTTTTGAAAATTGCAAAGTGGTTTGCCCTTTATCGTTTTTTGGATTTTTTTGCATGACGTGTTTATTTAAACTAGACATTATGTTTTTGTTTGTATCGGCTATAAGGATAGTTAACAAAAAGTTACATTTACTTGTATCACAACGGCATATTCTCTTCTTTTCCCTTGTTTGAATCATCATCATCAACAACAACATGGGCGGGGTGGATTCAACAAACATATCATCTTACAGTAAAAAATAATAATAATAAAAACATTTACTTATATTACAATACATAAAGTCAACAACAACGGCATTAAGACTTCGACATCAATGAGATATTCAACATTAGGCATTCAACATTACAACAGACATTCAACAATCAAAGTTACAGCATTAAGTAGATTCCAGAATCAAAATTACAACATAAATTTCATTCAAGAATCATGATTACAGTTTTACAGAATCAATAATCAAGATTACAAGATCAATGAAATTGAAGAATCAAGATTTACAACATCAAAAACATTATATAAAAAAAAAGGAGTTACTTGAGTTTGAGTATCTTCCATGGATGATGGAAGCCAATTTTCTATTACCATTAATGGTGGGAAGATCACAAAAGGGGTTTTGGTGAAGAATCGTTCAAAAAGGTAGAACCGGTTTCATTTTTTTTTTTTTTTGGGTGCATATGAGTAGAACCGGTTTCTTTTTTTTTTTTTTTTTGGGTGCATATGAGAGCCAATCGACAAGAGGCAAGGGACAATTCAATTTCTTTATTTTGTTTCCAGAAGCCATAACTGATCAAAAAAATGTTTGTTTCTTGCTAAACTTAATGACTTTCATGTCAAAAGCCCTTTAACATAATTCAATAAAACATGTGTAAAAATGCAAGGCATCTACCTAGATTGCACAAATCTTCCCAAAACAAGAAACCAACATCCAAATATGAAATACCAACAGAAACACATAATATCACATGTCTCCTCCATTGTCCACATTACATATCATAACACCATATAAAAAACAAAACCTATGTCCGAATTCCCATCAAAAAAAAAAAAAAAAACATTTAAACTGCATGCATTAAACATCTGGGGCAACATAATAATATAACTAACATTCCTCTCAAAATTTATAATATTCTTTTCATCTGCATGCATGCATATATAAAACTTAATTCTTGAGTGGAGCCTTCTTTTCTCTATCAGCTATTCGAGCAGGACCAGTTGTATGCGACTTGAACCTCCCTCTTCCTTCACTATCCCTCTCCTGTAAGCAAGCAAAGTAATATCACATAAATCATAAAGTTTTTTTAAAACAAATACTAAATTATTATTTTTGTCAAAAATGTAATCATACCTTTTTCTTGACAATCTGAACAACATCCTCATCCTGAAGAACATGACTCAGCCCACAATGCTGTGGGTAATGCCTTGCACTTGACCCCCACACCAACACATATTTAACATCCTTCACCAAGCTTCTATGTATATGGTTACAAAAATCTTCCACACTGCATCCACCTCTATCCTGTAATTTTTTATTTTTTAATCACATTTATTCCAAAATAATTTTTTCCTTTTAAAAAAATAATTTATATACATATACATACAGCAGAAAGAACAACAGGATCACTAAAATCAGGCTGTTGCCCCTGTGGCTTTGTGTAAACCCTAACTAGCCCCATTGCATCCCACATCTTTGCAAGCAGTCTATCCAAATTCAGCTGCAGCAAAATACCAAGGTCAAAACAGTAATTTAGCCTCGGATGAAATATGAAGAGTACAAAATATTATTATACCTTCAAGTTGCAACTAATGACAATGGAATTGGGTTGTCGTGCTAGTTTGTCCACATCATCAATACCCACAACATCTATTTTGTTGTAGACATATATACACTTCATGTACTTTCGATTTCCTTCTATCACATCAATCAAATCATCCACAGTTGCATCCTCACGAAACAAAATCTGAAAATAAATAAATAATAATTACTTTTTGTTGTTCAGTAATCAAAAAAGATTCTTGAGGTAAATCCACTTTCGTTGTTGACTTGTTTCTTTTTTACTTAATCTGGACAGGATGACTTAGTGGGTTAAGCAAAAAAATCTGTCTTCATGTGTTAAGACACTAACCCTTTACCTATTTGCCCTTCTTTTTGCCTCCAAACTCATCTCATGTTAAAAGTTGATGAATGTTGTGTTATTTGTTTTTTGGAATGTGAGGGTAAAATGGTCATTTCATCTCATTCAGATGGCTTATTCAGACCTTATGTATACAACACTTTAATCCTTAGATTACCTCTGCATTATGGATCTTGTATTCATGTAGAATTTGGTAGCAAAGTTTTTCATCCACATGAGTCAACTGCATGGTGCTGTTAAAAGAAATACCCCCGGTTTTTTTCTTTTTGAAGTATATCTGTCAAAACGTATCCAAATCATCAACAAAAACTACGTATTAAAAAATAAAAATAAAAAAACAAATACTTGACATGAAAATAAGATTTGACATATTACTTGGGGTGGTTTCTTGTTTAAACGCAAACCAACAGCTTCCAATTCTTTTGTCAATATCTGTCGATGCCCTTCACTCTAAAAAAATTTCATAAAAATGTTACACAAAATGATTATAAAGAACCAAACATGGAAATACAACAAGTACTTACTTTTGAAGCATCAAGAACCATCAACACAATGTCTGATGACTTTGAAACTGCAATGACCTGAGGTTGAA